CCTCCCTAACCTGTTCTTCCTCCCACCTATCCCCTCCTCCCACCTCAAGCCGCACCCCCATCTCCTACCTACTAACCTCATCCCGCCCCCTTGACCTGTCCGTCCTCCCTGGACTGACCTACCCCCTCCCTAACTCCCCACCTACACTCACCTTTACTGGCTCCATCCCCGCCTCTTTGACCTGTCTGTTTCCTCTCCACCTATCTTCTCCTCTATCCATCTTCTATCCCCCTCCCCCTCTCTCCCTATTTATTTCAGAACCCCCTTCCCCTCCCGCATTTCTGATGAAGGGTCTAGGCCCGAAACGTCAGCCTTTTTGCTCCTATGATGCTGCTTGGCCTGCTGTGTTCATCCAGCTCTGCACCTTGTTGTCTCAGATTTCCATCTCTAAAGGGCACGCGTGAACCTGGTGGGATTTTATGATAATCAATGATAGTTTCATGGTCACCATTACAGAGATTAGGTTTAATTTAGATTTATTGATTTAAATGTAAATTTCAGCAACCATTATGGTGGGATTTGAACTGATATCCCTGCAGTATTAGCGTGGATGGCTGCATTGTTAATCCAGAGACATTACCACTATACCAGCATCTCCCACATTTGGGCATCTTTGACAGCGAATAGTAAAGGGATGCATGTCTTATATATTCAGGTCTGGAGACCATTCTCGTGGGAGTACCAGTGTAGGAGAGGGTAAGGATATTACTCTGGACATGGCTATCAAAGGTGTAGGTGAGTGTTGGATTGAGCAGTTCGATTGCTTCAGAGTTTGCATGGCAGAGAAAGTGACAAAGGCTCGATAAGGGAAAGTTGGAAAGCTCCACTGCAAGTGAATTGAGAAGAGATTTTTCCGGGAGGGGTGAGCAGAAGGAAGTCCGGTTGGGAAAGAGAAAAGGGATGTGTGGAGAGAGCTACTGAGAAATTACCAGGAATGGCCGTACCTTCTGATCACTTTTCAGTCCAGTGGTCTCATACATTCAAAGACATTTACAGAAGAGGCCACTCAGCCCATTGTTACTTCACTAGTTACTACACTAATCCCATTTTTCAACTTTTAGCTGAGATCCTGGAGGCTATGGCAACTTAAGTGAATATCTAAATATTGTTTAAGTGTTACAAGAGTTTCTGATTCAACCATTCTTTCAGGTAGTGTGTTCCAGTCTTCCACTGCACCCTGGTCAAAAAAGTTTCTCACCTGTCCTCTTAACCTTCTACCTCTTACCTTAATCTATGCCCTTGGTCATTGATCCCTCTAATGATGCAAAAGTGTCTTCCTATCCACCATATCTATGCCTTTCATAGCCTAATATACCTCTACCAAGTGTCCATTCAACCTTCGCTACTCCAACTTATTGAATCTTTCTTCATAATTCAGACCTTCCGACATAGGTAACATCCTGGTGAATCTCTTCTGTACCCTGTAAAGTGCAATCATATTCTTCCTATAATGTGATGTCCAGAACTGCACAAAGTACAGATCCCTGGTGGTAGCAGGACAGGTAGATAAGTTGGTTAAAAGGTATTTGGAGTACATGTCTTTATTAGCTGAGGCACAGAATACAAGAGCAAGGAGACCATTGCTGGACAAACTTCCTCTCTCTCAATGTTTATTTCTTTTAATATTTCACAGTCCTCCACCCTGATATATATATACCTTTTCCATTGTGAAGACCATCACAAAGTATTCACTGAGGACTGTGCCCCATATCTTCTGGGTCCACACACACACTACCTCATTGGTCCCTAATGGGCCTTACCCTTTCCTGGTATTTCTCCTCCTTTCTATTTATTTTAAAAAAAAATGTCCTGTGGGTTTTCCTTTATTCTACCAACCAATGCTATCTCATGCATTCTCTTTATTTTCCTAATTTCTTTTTTAAGTTCCTCGCTGCTCTTTTTGTACTCCTCCAGGGATTCTGCCATATTGAGACCTTAATATCTGCTATAAGCAGTACTAGCATCAAAATAAGCTTTAAAATATCTGTGCACACTTCAACTAAAAAGTAACATTGAAGTAGGAAAGCATGTTTTAAAAAAACTATAAAAGAGACAAGTATAAAATCTGAGGCTGAGTTCCTTTACGATAAATTTATTTCCAAAAAGAGAATTTTTTTTAAAAATTGACTTAAAAATAGAAAGTGGAAAATTATTGACTCAAGGTGTAGAATCACCTTTGCACATTTAGATGATGTCTATCAGGAATTCCCTGTTTGCCCAGACCTTCCTCCGTCAAAACTTTGAGTTCTCTATATTTTGGGGACCTGCATGATTCATTCTTTCTTTCTCCAATTACAGGAAGAGTCGGTGACAGATGTCACTTATCATCACGCCTTTCCTACAGTGAATGTACCAGATCATGCCCACTACACAACTGGGGCAGTAATTCTAGCAGTGGGCATCACTGGCATGGTGGGCAACTTCCTGGTCATCTACGCATTTTGCAGGTACATGTGTGCACCTCCCCCAGGCATCATGTTACGCCACGCACTCGCAGTCTCCCCAGTACAATACAGTAATATCATACAACACAGGAACAGGCCCCTTGGACCACCAATGTCCACTGCCCACGAGTGGGGTTTTTCCTTCCCTGGATGTTCTCGAAAAATGATGGGAGGCATTTACATGGAAATGATGCAGGTGTCACTCAACAGTTACAGAACCAGTGAGGCTCCCGTGTCACCTCATTTAAGGAAGGCCCTCAAAAATTAAGTGCCACTCAGGCATTTACCTGGGCAATGGGGGTCTTCCCAGGAACAAGGACTTGTGCAGGTGGAGGTCTCACCTACAAGAATTGCTGGCCAATCAGAGTTTGCATTGTGACTGGATTCCAGGAAACATAGAAAATAGAAACAGGAGTAGGCCATTCAGCCCTTCAAGCCTGCTCCACCATTCAATAGGATCGTGGCTGATCAGCCAAATCTGTACACTGTTCCTACTTTCTCCCCATACCTTTTGATCCCTTTAGCCCTAAGAATAATATCTAACACTTTCTTGTGAACATTCAATATTTTGGCTTCAACCGCTTTCTGTGGCAGAGAATCACAAGCTCACCACTCTCCGGGTGAAGAAATTTGTCCTTATCTCAGTCCTAAATGATCTACTGTGTATTCTTAAACTATGACCTAATCAAAATGAAACAAGTGTATTTGGATGGAAAGAGGTCAGAGGGTGGGTATTGTGAGGGACCAGGGTGGACAATGTACAGGCAGGGGCCTGGCTTTGAGTGGGCCTCCTCAGCCCCGATGCCAGGTCCCTCGATCATTCACTGAGTGCATTTAAACAAAGGACCCAGGATCCTGTAAACAATGCCACACTTTTCCTACATGTCTGACTCCATTCCCAAACAGCCTCCTTGTTCAGTGCTAGGGTTAATACCCACTCCAGCAGGACAATGCCCTCAAATAGCTTTACCGCAATGTGAATTTAATTGGAGTGAAGGCAGGAAGGTGGAAGGGCCCAACTGGCACCTTCCCTCCTGATTCAACATCCCCTCTGCCTCCAAAGGGAGGCTATTAAAATTCCACCAAGTGAATCCACTTGGATATGGAGATGAGATGTTTAGTTAGGCTGAGTTATACAATAAGTGAATACCTCCCCAGTGATTCCATGAATAAATGATGTGATACTAAGTTGTACAGACTTGAAAAGGATCTGGTCTCTGCCACATCAACTGACCTACGCCACGAAAGCAACGTGAACCTGAGAAATGAGAGATGGACTTGTCCACAGGATCCCACAAGCTTTATCCATCATTACGGACTCCACTCTTCTGCACTAACTCCCTATCTCTTGATTTCTTCAGTATGCAAGAATCTATTGATCTCTGTCATGAATGTGTTCAAAGCCTCAACATCCACAGCTCCTTGAGTTTCCGAATTTCAATAGTTCAGAACTCTGTCAGTGTGCCTCCCTCCGCATCTCAGTCCTAAAAGATTGACCTCATATCCTGACTGTGTGAAACCCTCTAAATGTTTTATGTGCTTCAATAGAGTAGAATAATTTATAGCACAGTGGGTGACCATTAGCCAGGGTCATGTTAAGTCCCTGCTGGCTCTATGCAAAAACAATTGAATGGATCCCATTCCTCTGCATTTTCTCCTCTTCTGAGATTTCAGCTCTGCTAGAATATGGAAATACCCCTCAGCTATGTGAGGCCATGGGTTCAAGCCCCATTCAGTGACTTGAGCACATAGAATCCCTATGACGTGGAAACAGGCCATTAAGCCCATCAAGTCCACACTGACCCTCCCACCCCACCCTATCAATTTCTCCATCCAGCAACATCACTACAAACAGATTACATTTAATTCATTTGCGTTTGAGGGACCTCACTGTGTTGAGATTGGCTGCTGCATTTCCTCAAGGCAAAAGTGAATACACTTCAAAAGTACTCAATTATCTCTAATTTGGACATCCTAAAGTCATGACAGACACCACATAAATGCAAGGCTGCTTATCTTTGTAAAGTCTTGGTTGAAATTGGACTTTGTTTACTGCTTAGGAATCAAAATCAAACTTCTTCAGGCAGCTTCATCATTGAAGGATTTGCAAGAATTCAGTTAGAGATGAGGGGTCATGCCAGCTAATAGATGTCAAAGATAGGGGCTGAGACCTATGGATGGATTTGTCAAAATCATCTGAAAGAAACAGAACTTTTCACTGACCTGTTGAAGACGTTGTGTCCTCATTCTGTGCAACGTTTTGTTTTTGAAATGAAGCACTAGGCTTTATTTCTGATAGGATAGAATGGAAAAGTAGGGATGTTATGCTAATGCATAAGAAAATGAGGGGAAGGCGATAGAGAGTTATGTTAGATATAGATATAGATGGAAGGAGGCTCCAGAATAAACTCTGGCAGGGACTGGTTGAACGGAAAAGTCTGTTTCTGCGCTGTATATCCTTCATGTACTCCTATCTGTAATCCTATGATATATCAATCATCTGAATAAATGCTCAAACAGAAATCTTAAACTTTGGACAGTGACTGATAATTAGAGAAAGGAATGAAGTTGTAAATGTGCAGAAGAAAATCCTCCCAGTCCTTGTCAAGTGCTGTTTTTTTTCTCTCTGCTTTTAGCTAAAGCAAAAATAAGAAAGAAACAAGACTAGTTTGAAAAGAGATATTATTGCTTTTAAAATCTTTTAAAGTCTTTCCCTCTCTTTTCCCACAGAAGCAAGAGTCTGCAGAGTCCATCCAATACTTTCATTATCAATCTGGCCATCAGTGATTTCCTTATGTCAGTCACACAGGCTCCAATCTTCTTCACAACAAGTCTGCACAAACGCTGGATTTTTGGCGAGAAAGGTGAATTCCATCTCTCAATTTTGCAATTCACAGTGTCCTTGGGGATCTAATACCTGTCCAGTCTCTACGCGTACACACACAGGGGCTTGCCATACTGTGAAGACTGAGAGCTGTGGACTCAATCTCATAATGAGGATGTGTTTACTATTGGGGCATTTCGATGTCTGTGCAACTGTTTCAAGTGGGTTTACTGGTGCAGTGTCAGAATCCTGTTCAAACACATTCACATTTGTATTGTGCCTTGTCGTATTTCTAAAGCACTTTGCAACCAAACAATGCCGACGGTTTACACCTTTTCAACGAAGCAAAAACTTGGGGGACATTCATTCCCTGGTGCATCCCCGTAGCAATGCCTTGACCAATTGGAGTCCACTTGCTAAATAATCAGCACACTCTTTTCAAGCAGCATAAATCATTGTTCCCTTTGTGATTTGACATTCTTGCAATTCTGTCCTGATGAGGGCCACACAAAAAGCTGCATGGCTCTTTTTTTTCAGTAATACTCACATTCTGTGTTATCAAGTGACTAACCAACTAATAATAAACTTTTGAAATGTGGTCCAGTTACTATTAGTGGTATGTGCACAGTAAGATTCTACAAGTGGCAAACAAAGTGAATGACCAGTTCCTATGTGTTTGTTTTAATGATTTTAGATGGGTTTCTGGAGAAAATCACATTCTGTTTCAGATAGTGGTATGAGATCTTTTATATCCACCCAAACTGGCACCAGTGCCTACATTTAATGTTACAGTTGTGAAAAAGCACCGCCAACCATGCAGCACTCCCTCAGTGGGTGCCAGGATGCGGGCTTTGATACCTGGGTAGTGTGTCACAGGGGACAGGCATTGAACAGGGGTGCAGAATCATGTTGCATGTCATTCTGATTTCAGATCCAATGACAGTTTGGTGCTCCCAGTTATACAGTCAGACATCCTCCCTTTGGTTTTATTTATCTTTTCATGGGACGTGTGGAATGCCAGCATTTGTTACTCATCTTGAACAGCCGTTGAATTGGGTGGCAATTGTTTGGCCATTACAGAGGGCAGTTAAAAGTCAATAACATTGCTGCAGGCCTGGAGTCACATATAGGCCAGGATTGTTAAGGACAGCAGATTTCCTAAAGGGAAGGAGATGAAACATATTATACATTTGGTTTGTTTTCTCTAAGGAAGAAACTCAGTGTAACTCAGATAGCAGTGATCGGGAGTTTAAAAAGCAGCAATCCCAAGCAAAATCTTGCACTATAATGCGACACACTTATGGCTGGATTTTACAGCCAGTGAACATCCAACAAGCAGCCATCTTTTGGGAAGCTAGCTGATCAGAGATGCAACCAGGCGGGCTCTGTATCCAATCATGAATCAAGACCGGGATGTCATGGGATGGAAGGGTTAGGCCTCAAACAGAAAGTTGGTCATGGATTACAAATTTAAATGAACCCTGCCCTCCGAAACTTTTTTTTAAAATTGAAGGCTCACAAAAGTCAAAACGTGAACACGAAAATCATGCACCTTCACCAGCACCATCTGCTGCTACCTGCAGTCATTATGCCCTCGTGCCACCTAATTGTACCCACCTTAAAATACTTCCACATTCCTGCCTCATGCCCAAAAAATGCAGCCTTCCAAGGTGACGCCACCAGCTTTTACATTCATGTGGGAGTGGTACTGGCCCAATTGATTTCCAGCTAGAATCCAGTCTATAGAATGATGCAACATACAAATTAGAAGCAGGACGAGGCCACTCGGCTCTGCATTTCCATTCAAGAAGACCATGATTGACTTGAGTTAACCCCAATCCTGCCTAGCCCCTTTGTTTATCAAGAATCTAAATGCCTCTGCCTTCACAATATTCAAAAACTTTGCTTCCACCACCCTTTGAGGAGAAAAGTTCCAAAGACTCGCGACTCTCTGTCAGAAACAAGTCCTCTCATCTCTGTATTAATAGGTGACCCCTTTTATTTAAGCAGTGTGCCCTAGTTCTAGGTCCTCTCCAAAGAAGAAACCTCCTTTCCTCACCTACCCTGTCAAGACCGCACAAGATCCTATATGTTTCAATTAAGTCTCCTCTTACCACTCTAAAGTCCTGCGGACACAAACCTAGCCTGTCCAACCTTAGCTCCAGGACAACACACCCATTCCAGGTTATGTACATTCTCTGAACTGCTTGCAAAGCATTTCTATCCTTCCTTAAGTGAGGAGGCCAAGACTGTCCACAGTACTCTAGATATGGTCTCACCAGTGTCCTGTATAACTGATGCATAATCTCCTGACTGCTGCGCTCAGTTCACCTCTTGATAAATGATAACATCCTATTAGCTTTCCTTACTTTCTGTACCTGTGTGACAGCCTTTTGAGATTATGGACAAGGGTACCTGGATCCCTCTGCAACTCAGAGGACAACAATCTCTTACAAAGTAATATTTCAACAAGGTGCAGGGCTGGACGAACACAGCAGGCCAAGCAGCATCATAGGAGCAAAAAGGCTGACGTTTCGGGCCTAGACCCTTCATCAGAAAAGGGGGAGGGGAAGGGGGTTCTGAAATAAATAGGGAGAGAGTGGGAGGCGGATAGAAGATGGATAGAGGAGAGGATAGGTGGAGAGGAAACAAACAGGTCGAAGAGGCAGGGATGGAGCCAGTAAAGGTGAGTGTAGGTGGGGAGTTAGGGAGGGGATAGGTCAGTCCAGGGAGGACGGACAGGTCAAGGGGGCGGGATGAGGTTAGTAGGTAGGAGATGGGGGTGCGGCTTGAGGTGGGAGGAGGGGATAGGTGGGAGGAAGAACAGGTTAGGGAGGTGGGGACGAGCTGGGCTGGTTTTGGGATGCGGTGGGGGGAGGGGAGATTTTGAAGCTTGTGAAATCCACATTGATACCATTGGGCTGCAGGGTTCCCAAGCGGAATATGAGTTGCTGTTCCTGCAACCTTCGGGTGGCATCGTTGTGGCACTGCAGGAGGCCCAGGATGGACATGTCGTCTGAGGAATGGGAGGGGGAGTTGAAATGGTTCACGACTGGGAGGTGCAGTTGTTTATTGCAAACCAAGCGTAGGTGTTCTGCAAAGCGGTCCCCGAGCCTCCGCTTGGTTTCCCCGATGTGGAGGAAGCCACACCGGGTACAGCAGATGCAGTATACCACATTGGCAGATTTGCACGTGAACATCCGCTTGATGTGGAAAGTCTTCTTGGGGCCTGGGATGGGGGTGAGAGAGGAGGTATGGGGACATGTGTAGCACTTCCTGCGGTTGCAGGGAAAAGTGCCGGGTGTGGTGGAGCTGGAGGGGAGTGTGGAGCGGACAAGGGAGTCACGGAAAGAGTGGTCCCTCTGGAAAGCAGATAAGGGTGGGGAGGGAAAGATGTCTTTGGTGGTGGGGTC